AAAAGAAAAAAAAAAAGAGTTTGGAGAATGAGACGTTTGGACTTCGGCTAGAAATGGAAAGAAACTAGACTTGTTAGCAAAGAGAGGGGTGTCATTAGTTGCATTAATCGGTGAATTCGTTAAAGAGATTGACAAACTATGGTGGTCACTTCAATTGATACTTGATGTGTTTGCGTTCTTAGAATAAGTTCATCTTGAGTCCGGATAAATTGGTTTGAGTTGTTTGAACTATGCACTTATGTGCGAAGTGTGAGGTTTTGAGCAAATATTCCACGTACTTGTTTTCTTATCCATCTATGTGTTTATAGTTCTAAGTTGCTTGGGGACAAGCAACGGTTTAAGTTTGGGGAGATTTGATTGGTCGGAAAAAGTGTGTGTTTTATATATTTATTAGCGTATTTTATATGCTTGATTTTGTCGCACTTATCTATTTTTCGACTTATTTATTATTTAGATGGATTCTAGTTCTTTGATATTTTTATATTTTGTTTTTAGGATATTGAAGTATATTTGTGGACGAAGAGACGAGCCAAGGAATTACTAGTGAGTTGGGCTAATGCTAATTGATTAGGCCCAATATTATAATTAATTTGGAGCATGTGGAATTAACACGCATGCTTGGGGGGAGATGTGAGATTATAGGTGGAGGCCAAGTATTTTCATAAAAATTAGCCCACTAAAGGCTATTGGAACAAAATTGGAGAATAGTTTTCTTTGCCTTGGAGACATACACGTGCAAAAGGAATGGGAGGATAGATATATATATATTTTGGGACATACGCAGACCATAAAAAAAGCGAGCCGCCACAGAGATAACAGGGAAAGGAATTGCAGACGCTGGGAGCTTGATCAATTGCGGAGGGAGACCGCAGCCGCACACAAAGGGGGATAATTCTTTCCTCTTTCTTTTGTTTTTATTTATTATGTTAGAGTAATTTTTATTTCTAGTTCCGGGGAAGTTGAACCCTACGACTTGACGATGTTTGATTGATTTTCTTGGTTGATTATTGAATTATCTTTTTGGAATTGTTTGTGTTATTTTGAATAATTAACCATGATGTGTTGAGTCTTATTTAGATTGATCACCTAGATTAGGCTTTTCAT